CCTTGGCTCCTGGTTCGATGCTCAACCAACTGTGCCACACTTGGCCCGGCTCTCCCTTTTTACCTTCGTACAGGGTTCCATTAGGTGGATGTTCATAATTTATTTCACAGTCTCCTGTTACAGGTTTTAACTTTTCCCCCAATTTTATGACCAGGTGCTCCGTGTGACGTTCACACGCGTGCACACACCCCAGGGCACATTCCCGGAGGTGGCAGTGCATGTGTGACTTGGCTGGCTTTGGGCCAGTCGCCTCGTGTGGGTGTGGCTCCAGGTTAGACCCCTGTCAGCAGCGCAGTGGGGAGGTCGGTGCTCACAGGCCCCACCAGCACTGCCTGTGGGTGGCCCGGGTCTTGGCGCGTGGCCAGCCGGCCGGATGGACGGTGGCACCGGGTTTCCTTCTGCAGCGTTCCCGGGCTGTCTCCAGTCCGCCCTGAAATGCCCGGGTCCCTTCACTCTTAGTGGGCGAAGGTGGCAGCCACCCCTGGAAATGAAACCTCTTGAGGGACCCCTTGCTCACGGTGACTGTTACACTCGGGGACATGTTCACAGGGAGCTGTTTGAATCCCCAGCCTCGCTTCCCCGAACAGAACAGGCATTTGCAAATGGCCTTCAGGGGTGAGGATCAGCTGTCTCCCCCCACACCCCCACCCCCGATTTTTTTAAAAAATATATTTTATTGATTTTTTACAGAGAGGAAGGGAGAGAGATAGAGAGTTAGAAACATCGATGAGAGAGAAACATCGATCAGCTGCCTCCTGCACATCTCCTACTGGGGATGTGCCTGCAACCCAGGTACATGCCCTTGACCGGAATCGAACCTGGGACCTTTCAGTCCGCAGGCTGACGCTCTATCCACTGAGCCAAACCAGTTTCAGCTGTTTTTTTTTTTTTTTTAATCCTCAATGTTTTCCATTGATTCTAGAAAGAGAGGGATGGAGAGGGAGAGAGAGAGAAACATGGATGTGAGAGAAACAACCCGTTGCTATGACCGAACTGGCAACCTGGGCCTGTGCTCCGACCGGGAATTGAACCCAAGACTCTGGCCTCTGAGCGGCACCAGGCAGGGCTCAGCTGTCCTTTTGGTCTTGACATTTCCCTTCTCCTGGCTTTGTGCATCTGGGTTCCTCAAAAAGGGTTCTGCAGATATGCACACCCGCCCCAGGGGAAGAGGGAATCCTTGGGCGCCACCAAGTGGCCACCTGGGGTGCGACAAATATTGACTGGGTACCAAAGACACCCCGCTAGCCCCCAAGACTGTTTTCTGAATTCTGGGCCCATCTTTAGAGGAAGGCACCATCAGAAAGCACTGGAAGGGAGCGTGGCCTAGGAGAGGGTGGCTTCTGCGTTCGCTATTTAAAATATATATTTTTTAGATTTTTTCAATTATAGTTGCCATACAATGTGCATTTCAGGTGCACAACAGTGACTAGACATTTATATATCGCTGTTTAAAGTGCAAGCTGTTTGCCCTTGCCGGTTTGGCTCAGCGGATAGAACATCGGCCTGTGGACCAGAGGGTCCTGGGTTCGATTCCCATCAAGGGCATGTACCTCGGTTGCAGGCTCCTCCCGGCCCAGACCCTGGCCAGGGCTCCTGCAGGAGGCAACCAATCTGTGTGTTTCTCTCACATCGATATTTCTCTCTGTCTCTCCCTCTCTCTTCCACTCTCTCTAAAAACCACACACAAAAAAGGCGCAAGCTGTTTTACCACTGCCGTGTGCTTTGAGCACGCGTTTTCTCGGGGTGCCAGACCTACGAGTAAGCACCCACGTGGGCCCTGAGCTCAGAGTGTCTGTGTTTTGACAGTTGCTCCTAGTCCTGATCAGGGCACATGCCTAGGTTGCCGGTTTGGGTTCGATCCTGGTCAGGGCGCCCACAGGAGGGGAGGTAACCAATCGATGTTTCTCTCTCTTTTCCTCTCTGTCTCTCTCGCAAATCAACAAACATATCCACATATCCTCGGGTGAGGATTTTTTTTTAAAAAAGTGTCAAATTCTCTTTGTGTCCAGCTTAGTTTTGGGGCCCAGGGGGTCTTCCCCCGCCAAGGGCCTTCAGCTGTCCTACTCAGATACCCCAGATCCCCTCCCCGCCCAGCCTGACGGCGCTCTTACCCGTAGTCTCTGCTTTCTCCCTTCCTCCTCAACCAGGGCCTAGAGTCCATGCCAGCCTTTGTTAAGCAGAAAGTGAAGCCACCTGCATTACCGCGGGACGTGAGTCCAAGCGCAGCCTCCACCGGGTATCCAGGTGCCGACCAGGCCCTGGATGCCGCTGGTGGTCTTGGCCCAGATCAGACCTTGCCGGGACCCAGCGGATCAAGACACCCCTCCGAAGGGGAGCAAAAACTTCCCTCTGCTCCTGGGTTTCCTGCGCCCCAACTCGGAACTGAAGCTGATCAGCACAGGCCTGGAGAGCGGCCCAGCACAGCAGGTCTGAGAAGAGATGAACGGGACGCACACCCTGGCCCAGTTCGACAGGACTTGCACCCTGATGCTCCCGGGGGGATGACCCCCAGCCCGGGTCAAGTCGTGGACGCCAGGCCAGACCAACTGGGGCCAGGGCCACCTGGCCTGGATCAGCTTGAGTTTCAACCTCCTAGCGCTTACCCAGGTGGCCTCCCCTTCCGGCGGGGTCCGATGCCACCTGGGATGGAGGAACAGGGACCGGTTCTACCTGGCCTGGGTCAGCAGGATGTGGTGCCGCCGTGGGCACCTGCCAGAGACCAGCAAGGATTGGGACTCCCTAGTCCCGCACAGCCTGGCATGGTTCCACCTGGCGCACAACAGTTCGGTGTGAGATTTCCTGGCCCGGACCAACGTGCCATGGAGCGGCCTGCAATGGACGGGAGTGGTGTGGGACCCATTGGCACAGATGAGCATGGATTTCCAATATTTGGCATGGATCAACAAGGATTGGTTCCACCTTTTAGAGATCAGCAAGGTTTTGTACAGCCCGGTTTGGAAACGCCTGGCTTCATACAACCTGGCACACCGCAGTACAATGTGCTCCAACCTGGCGCAGCTCAGCCTGGCTTGGTCCCACCTGGTGCAGCTCAGCCTGGCTTGGTCCCACCTGGTGCAGGTCAGCCTGGTTTGGTCTCACCTGGTGCAGGCCAGCCTGGTTTGGTCCCACCTGGAGTTGATCAACGTGGTTTGGTACAGGCTGGTAAATATCCACCTGGTTTTGTACAGCCAGGTGCATATCCATATGGTTTGGCTCAACCTGGCGTCTATCCACATGGTTTGGTCCAGCCTGGTACATATCCACATGGTTTCATGCAGCCTGGTGTGGCAGGTCATCCTGGTTTAGTTCCACCTGGTGTAGGTCAACCTGGTTTAGTCCCACCTGGTGTAGGACAACCTGGTTTAATCCCACCTGGTGCAGGTCAACCTGGTTTAGTTCCACCTGGTGCAGGTCAACCTGGTTTAGTCCCACCTGGTGCAGGTCAACCTGGTTTAATCCCACCTGGTGTAGGTCAACCTGGTTTAGTTCCACCTGGTGCAGGTCAACCTGGTTTAGTCCCACCTGGTGCAGGTCAACCTGGTTTAGTCCAACCTGGTGCAGGTCAACCTGGTTTAGTCCCACCTGGTGTAGGACAACCTGGTTTAATCCCACCTGGTGTAGGTCAACCTAGTTTGGTCCCACCTGGTGCAGGTCAACCTGGTTTAGTCCAACCTGGTTTGGTCCAACCTGGAATGGATCAGCGTGGTTCAGTCCAACCTGGTGCAGGTCAGCCTGGTTTGGTCCAACCTGGAATGGATCAGCGTGGTTCAGTCCAACCTGGTGCAGGTCAGCCTGGTTTGGTCCAACCTGGAATGGATCAGCGTGGTTCAGTCCAACCTGGTGCAGGTCAGCCTGGTTTGGTCCAACCTGGAATGGATCAGCGTGGTTCAGTCCAACCTGGTGCAGATCAGCCTGGTTTGGTCCAACCTGGAGTTGATCAGCGTGATTTGGTACAGCCAGGTGCATATCCACCTGGTTTTGTACAGCCTGATATCGATCAGCAGGGTTTAGTGGAACCTGGACTAGATCAGCATGGTTTGAGGCAGCCTGGTGCTGATCACCAAGGCTTGGTACCATCAGGCGCAGAGCCTCATGGCTCTCCACGCCCATATCAGCATGGCCTGGCACCTCCTGGCAGAGATCAACAGGGTCAGGTGTCACCACGCCTATCCAGGCAAGGTTGGATGTCGCCTCGTATGGACCAAGAGGGTTTGGTACCAACAGACACTTATCAGCGAGGCATAGACCAGGGTGGTGCACGCCCAGAGCAGCAGCAATGGGTACCGCCTGACCTAGATCAGCGTGACCGTGCATCCTCTGTCCTAGACCCACATGGCCACACGTATCCTGGCCCTTACAGCCCAAGGTACTCGGGTGTCGATCCACATGACCAAGAACATTTGGATCCACAACAACGTAGCGGGTATACTCAGCCTCCCCCAACTCCCAACGTCCCCTGGGCTCAGAGCGTGGACTCCCTTAGCGAATCCAGGCGAGCCTCACAGGAACCGAGCACTATTGAGCCTAAGAAACACGATTCCCTGGAGAAAGTGGCTCCTAGCTTCCCCATTGCGGTGGAGACGTTCCGCCTGATGGGAGAGCTCATCGGCCTCTACTCGGAGCTCAAGGAGAACCTGAAGACCCTGGATGTGCAGAAAGCTGGTGAAACCGACCTGGAGAAGATCCAGTACCTGCTTGCGATGATGGGTGGGTAACACTTGCGTGGAGGAGAGACCACGTCTTCATTCTAAGTTGACTCCATCCCTTTCCCCACCTTTTCCCCTGGCGGCCACTCTTCTGCCCGAATCCCCCAAAATAGAATGTCTGCCTTTAGCCATTCTGGGTTCTCCTAGAGCAGGGGGTGGGAAACCTTTCTTTTCTGCCAAGGGCCATTTGGCTATTTATAATACCATTCGTGGGCCATACAGAATTGTCAACTTAAACACTAGCCTGCAAACATTTAATGAACTCACCTCTAATGCCTTGGCAGGGCCAGACCAAATGATTTCTCAGGCCGTGTGTGGCCCGCGGGCCGGACGATCCCCACCCCTCCTGGAGCCTTTAGGGTCTGAAAGAAGGAATTAAACCTTTGGAGTGAAGGAGCCTCAGGAGAAGAATGAGGCAGATCATGCCCCTGCCAGGCTCTCTGGAGAGCAGCTGGGGAAATGCTGGGGCAAAGGCAGCCAGCAGCATTGGGCGGGGGTCAGAGGAGAGGATGTTGAAGAAGCAAACGTAACCTTTGTCTATTCGCAGCTCTGGGTCCATTCACAGCTCTGGGTCCAGAGAATAATGGAGATTTTGGAGTTGGGTGCAAACTATAGACCAGTGGTCCCAAAGCCTTATAGGGTGTTAAGCCTTTGGTGGAGTTTTTATGGGCTGCGGACACTCCTGTCTCCTTTCTCCGTGCCCCTCCCCCGCCCCCAGTCCTGTGTTCTCTGGGGTAACTTCACTCCGGGGTGGGGGGAGGGGGGTGCTGGAAGTGGGGATTAGATGCCCACGGGGATCTAAGCCTTCGGACTCTGAGCGCCCATTTCCCATAGTCCAAAAGACCATCCCACCAGACCTGCAGGAGCAGCTGAAGTCCATCAAGACCCTGACCAAAGAGGTTCGGCAGGAAAAAGCAAAAGTGAGTGAGTGAGGGAGGGCCTGCCGCCGGGCCTTGGCGCCAGCGCCCCCCTGCCATTTGCCCGTGGATGGCCGGCAGTCCTGTCATCGCTACCAGCCCTTCAGGCGGGGAATGCGGCTGAGACTTTGCAGCGGTCACTCCCTGGGGGAAAACCTGGTGCTCGAAGCTGTGGGGTTTAGCTGAGCCCGTTCTCTCACGCGGCCATTGCCAGTGAAGGCCAGGCCAGCCCGCGGGCGCAGCGCTGGGACCCAGTGTGTGGGACTGTCGGGGGCCAGTGGTCATGGCGAGAGCTACCGGGTCTTCAGTTGTCACCTTTTTTTTATCCTCACCCAAGGATATTTTTGCATTGATTTCCAGAGAGTGTGGAAGGGAGAGGGAGAGACAGAGGGAGAGACATCCATGTGGGAGAGACATCGATGGGTTGCCTCCCACACTCGCCCCAAACAGGGCCTGGGAGCTGAGGTATGTGCCCCTGACGGGAATTGAACCTGCACCCTTCAGTCCGCGGCCTGATGCTCTACCCACTGAGCCAAACCAACTAGGGCTTTAGCTGTCTTTTTATTTATATATATATATATTCCTCATTAGAGGATATTTTTCCATTGATTTTTAGAGAGAATAGAAGGGAGAGGGACAGAGAGAGAGAGAGTAGCATTGATGTGATAGAGACACATTGATTGGTTGCCTCCTGCATGCGCCCTGACCAGGGCCAGGGATCGAGCCTGCAACCGAGGTACGAGGTACGTGCCCTTGACTGGAATCAAACCCAGGACCCTTCAGTTTGCAGGCTGACGCTCTACCCACTGAGCAACACCAGCCAGGACTTTAATTGTCTTCTTACTGAAGACTGTCTACTCCGTGGTCAGCAAACTGCGGCTCTTTGGCCCCTTGAGTGTGGCTCTTCCTAAGCCTTAGGAGTACCCTAATTAAGTTAATAACAATGTACCTACCTATATAGTTTAAGTTTAAAAAATTTGGCTCTCAAAAGAAATTTCAATCATTGTACTGTTGATATTTGGCTCTGTTGACTAATGAGTTTGCCAACCACTGGTCTACATCATGGGATGGAGAGAGGGTGGGAGGAAGGGAGAGAGGGAGGGAGGCCAAGGAGGGAGGGAGGGAGGGAGGGAGGGGGAGAACGAGGGAGGGAGGGAGGGATGTCAGGAAGGAACCTTGGCTTTTGTCAGCAGGTTGGATTAGGGTCAGGGACGGGAGGAGGGGCTCGCGAAGGCTGCAGGCACCCGCAGGAGGCAGAGCCCGGCCTGCCTGACCCACCTCTTCCATTGGATTTGTAGTTGGACAAGATACAGAGGTTCCTGGAGGGCGGAGGGCTGCCAGAAGTGGGGAAGGAGGTGGCAGCCGGTCCGCTGAGCTTCCAGCTGGGTCTCCTCAGGTAAATGCCCTGCCCCGGCCGACCCTGCTCTCAGCCGAGCAGCTGGGAGCCAGCCTGGTTGGCCCACACCCTGTCTCTGGCCTGGGTCGTGTCTGCTCTTCCGGTTGCCCACGTCTAGTGCAAGCTGCTGGTGGGAGTTTCCCAAGTTCCTGAAACAGCGCAGCACCAGGACTTGGAAGGGCTAGCTCCACACCCGCCCCCCCGCCCCCCCCCCCGCCCCGGCTCCCAAAAAGGAGCTCCTTCCACTGTCCCCAGGGGGAGATGGAAAGGAGGGCCCCAGGGCCCCTCTGCAGGGCCCGGCCCCGCCTGCCACAACGCACTGGGCACCACGGCTGGTACGGCAGGGCTTCAGGCTCCCAAGCAAGCTGGGAAAAGGCCCTGGTCCCTCCCCCTCCATTCCTTAGGCCGGGCCCCCCCACTGGGGCTGGGGGGGGAGCCAGGCCATCCCTTGGGCCCAATATGCCACGGGAACAACTTTCAAAAAGGGCTCTCCGACCCTGAGAGAGACCCAGAGCCGGGCAAGGTACACATGGAGAACTCCGGCTTCCTTAGGCCTCCCCTTTACCTGCGAAAACAGTGAAGAGGGCCGCGCTCTCGGCACAGGGACCAAGGCCTTCTCAGAACTGCTGTCCCCCTCCATCCTCCTGTGTGTGTGTGTGTCCGTGCCTCGCTCACTGCCTTGCGGCTGCCTTCTCGCCCGCACCAGTTGGACAAGCTCAGGACGATCATCGAGAACATGCTGGCCTCGTCGTCCACGCTGCTGACCATGAGCATGACCCGAGGAAGGCCCCAATCACCTTGATCCCTGGCCAGATTGACCCCAAGGCCACCTGCCCGGCCTGCAGCCTGGACCTGAGCCACCAGGTCAGCACGCTGGTGCAGCGCTACGAGCAGCTCCAGCACGTGGTCACCAGCCTGGCGGCCTCGCGGCCGTCCAAGAAAGCCAAGCTCCAGCGACAGGTGAGCCGCGGCTCCCTGGGCAGCTGCACGCGGCCGTCGGATACACCGCGCGGGGAGTGGCGGAGAGTCCCTCGGCTTAGTTTTCCATGATGGAGCCCCCAAAAGTCCCGTCCTCCCACAGGGTGCCAGCGAGTAGTGCTGGGGAGGCGGGGCCGTGGGCTGGGAGGGCACAGCTGGCTGTGGGTGGAGCAGGGCCCCCCCCAGCCGTGGGGGCACCGGCACAGCTTCAGGAAGCACCCACTCTCCCTCCCAGGCCCCTTCCCACTTCCCTCCGGAGGGCAGGCTTGCTGGCCGGTGGGGACGTGCCTCTTGGATCCTGGGCTCTGGTCAGCCCCGGGCAGGCGGGGAGGCTGTAGGGGGGGAGGCTGTAGCCCCCGTGGCCGCAGGGCAGCTCACCCCTGGCAGCTCACCCTTTTGAGCCGATCACCACACTGGCCGACATTGGCCGACCAGGCCCCCCAAGGAGGCAGGGTTGAGGCGGGGGTGGCGGGGGGGCACAGGCACAGAGAAAGCGTGGGAGCCTCCGGCTGTCGGAGGGACATCGGAGGCTGGCCAATCTGCTGGGTGATGTTGTTTTTTGTTTGTTTTTAATATATTTGTATTGATTTCAGAGAGGAAAGGAGAGGGAGAGAGAAATAACATCAGTGATGAGAGAGAATCATTGATCGGCTGCCTCCTGCACACTCCCCACTGGGTATGTGCCCGCAACCAAGGTAATGCCCTTGACCGGAATCGAACCTGGAACCCCTGAGTCCGCAGGCTGACACTCTATCCACTGAGCCACACCTGCCGGGCTGGGTGCTATTTTAAGGGTCAACTTCTCGGGGGGCAGCAGGACGGGCCTGGGGGGCCCCAGCCGCCTCTGTGAGCAGGTCCCTCCCGCCGCAGGACGAGGAGCTGCTGGGCCACGTGCAGAGCGCCATCCTGCAGGTGCAGGGCGACTGTGAGAAGCTCAACCTCATCACCGGCAACCTCATCGAGGACCATCGGCAGAAGCAGAAGGACATCGACGTGAGGGCTGCAGGGGGGCGGGGGGGGGGCAGCGTGCGGCGTGACCCCAGCCACCCCTGCCCTTCAGTTCCTTGCTCCTCATTCTCCCTTCCTTGGCCCCCCAGGTGTTGTACCAGGGTCTGGAGAAGCTGGAGAAGGAAAAGGTCAACAGGGGGCACCTGGAGTTGGAGATTGAAGTGGTAAGGGCCAGGCGGAGGGCCCTCCTGCCTGGGAGGTCAGAGGTGGAAGGGAGCCTGGGGGGAGGTGGGGTGGAGAGAGGATTTAGGCTCAGCGTCAGGGTGACGGCTCAGGGGCCCTCCACGGCCCTCTCCCATCGGGCGGCCTCCTCCTCTCTCCGGGCAGAAGGCCGACAAGAGCGCCCTGGAGGCCAAAGTGAGCCGCATGCAGTTTGATGCCACCACGGAGCAGCTGAACCACATGATGCAGGAGCTGGTGGCCAAGATGAGCGGGCAGGAGCGGGACTGGCAGAAGATGCTGGACGGCTCTGACCGAGATGACAGCCAGGTGAGGGCAGC